ATCTTATTTTTCAGGCTTTCGTAGCTTTTCTCGGATACATACATACAAGTACATACAAGATTCATCGTAATAACGAGTCATAAACGCATCCACAGCTGTAAATCCTGGTTTAGTTAGAAAGTACAGAACAACATCCCATAGAGCACTTTTAATCCAACAAAACAATAATGTTGTAATATGGATGGATATTGCTTTGTTTGCGTCTTATTTCTTCGGAGAGAGTTATTGTTTGCATCTGTTATGGAATAACTTGCGCTCAAAAAAATGTGTATTGGTAGTAAAAAACAACATGGTTTTGTAGCATAGAGTGTCACAAACAGAATCAAACCATCCACTAAAAAAAAGGCAAAGATACGCGGAATCTTGTTTATTTAAAAACCTGGCGCTCTCTTGTGATGGCTTGTGATGCACGCTGTGATGCACCTGTCATCTGATGGCGGCGTAACTTAGCAATCAGCTTTTTGCACAAATAATTTTTTATCTGTAATAAACTTTTTTCCCCTATTCAACATTTTTCATATGTGTGTGTGTGTGTGTTTTGTGGGGAATGTGGCTGTATCTGTATGACCGCACATCAGCGTGTGGTTACTGACTGAATGACCAGCTATCAGTGTGAATGCTGTCTATATGAACGGCCATAAGAGTGTGACTATTGACATTATGGCCAGCCATCTGTATGATTACCATCTGTAATGACAGATGATAGGCCATCAGCATGTGATTACTGATTGTATAACCAGCAGTCAGTGTGAATGCTGTATGTCTGGCAATCAGAGTATGTACTTGACATACAAAGCTAATTCTTTTTTCTCTCTCTTATTTTTTATTTATTTTTATTACTCAAATTATTCTTTTAGTTTTTTTCTAGTGCTCAAATAAATCATTTATACAATGTCTAAGATTCAGTCTATTATTTTATAATTTAAAAAGTATGCAGTGGTATGTATGACTAAAACAGTTTGTAGAACCTTACATTTGGTGACTATTTTTCCTCAAACAGGGGGTGGAGGGGACTAGACATAGTCTCAGAAAAATGGCTGCAGGAATCTAATTTTTCATGATATCTTCAAATCTGAAATATAAACTCATGATACATGACTTTCAACCCATTACTTTTCTGGATTGCTCAAGGACTGATTTCATGTATTTGTATATGAAAAAAAAACATTCAGTGTGGTTAAATTTTTTTCAAGGCACTTCAGTGTCTATAACTTTTTATCTTTTTGAGCATTATCAACTCTGGATGATGGATAGTACAGCCTAAAGTGTCGTCTTCTTTAAATTGTGTGTGCAGCACACTGTTGACAGAAACTGTTACCATTTTAAGTTAGGTAGGTCATTTTAATTTAAAAACCCCATTTTGGGTTCATTTAACCCAGCAGTAGGCCTATAGTAAATTTCAAGCAATATTTGAATTAAATATGTTTATTGATATATTACCTGATATATAATCTATGTATGTATAACCTACTGTATAAACAATCGCTTCAGAGCAATTTGTTGTAGCCACTTACCCTGTAACTACATCATGGAACAAGGGGGGAACAAGCACCACTTTAAATTACAGCCCGCAACTGTTGCATTTACCCTCTAACTACATGGAACAAGGAGGTAACAAGCACATAGCAAGACTTAAAAACAGAACAAGTGTATATTTGCACAGTAATTACAGAGAAAAATATTGCACTAGTTTTAATTTAATTGTTTGATGGCCAAATCAAACCCTCTAATTTTATTTGCTATAAAAACATCACAGTTGTAGCGTCTGGACCAATCAGACACACCATTTGTCATTTGATTTAACAAATCAATTATTCATTAGATTAACAAACATTCACAGACCCCTCACCCAATAAACATACTGGGTGCCAAAATGTCTGTGAACAGGGCCCAGAACCCTGGTTACCATGGCAACCCTGACACCAGATACATTTACAACCTAATGGAATGCGAAGCAGGGAAAATCACTACATGTTCCATAGGAAATCCACAATTCACAGCAGAAACTGACTTTTCTACTAATTAATTCATAGGAAAACCTTTCTTTGAATGAACACACATATCCTTCAGGTCATGGTGTATGTTTTCTTTGATATTTTTAGAATATTCTATGCATGCTTATGATGGAACTAGTCGGGGGAAGTCGGTGGTTCTGTTTTGATAAGATGTGAGCTCCAAGGCTCCAGGACTTCCTAAGTTTTGTGCCAGGCCTTCGGCCTTGTCTTCTCCATTCAACAATATTCTCTGACTCAAACTGGTTCTTTTTCATCAACCAACTTCAGCAAAGATCAACTGGAACCTTCAGATTACATCAAACCATTTATATAGCAGATATATGCTACAAGCTCTGTGTAGAGTTGTACAGTAAGACAGTTATTTCCTTTAACCAGGAAATTAACGTTCTTAGAATTGACAGACAGTTGACCCTGAGAGGTCAGCTAAATATCTACAGCGGATCTAAATATTTATAATTAATTATAACTAGTTATGATTAATTATTCATATTTCCCCATGAGCTGATTCGCCACACAGTATACATCCACTGAAATACAAATGTGGTATTGTGTATTGTTTCTGCGAACAGCTGGAAAACGGTAAGCTTGCTTTAAGCTGCATTGAACCTATATCATGCAAAGTTATTTGGTGATAGTGGTGTTGGAAGGTTGCTGATGTGACTCAGCTGAGATCGACAAATAAGCTTTCATAAAGTAAGTATACTCGTGAATTATAAATCATAGCATAAACTCATTAACTAATTTCACTAGATGTCCAGTTTTGTTGTTCAGTAATCTCCATCATGTTTCCTGCAATAATAGAATGGTTAAAAATACTTAGGCCTATAATAAAATAGGTCTACCAATATAAAATTATAAAAAGTATCGTCTTTCTAAATCACTCCCAAACATAAGATTGTTGTTTAGGCCATACATACCACGTAATATTAGAATTGGTACCACTTAGTTTCAAAATACTTACAGTATAAATTATTTGTAATTTTACAGGTTGTTACCCCTTTATTCCCCAAACGTCGCATGTTATTCCCTTATGCCTACAGGGAGGTACTGATTAGGTACACTATAATTACAAAAATAAAAAATTATGCTGTAACTTCAGTTCACTTACGCAGTTCTTTGCAGGTTGCATATCTGGTTGTTACCCCTTATTACCCAAACGTAACACATTGTTCACTTTTACCTACACGTATGTTCTTTATAGGTACACTATAACTACAGAAATGTACGCCGTAAATTCAGTATACTTACGTAGTTCTTTGCGGGTTGTAATGTATAGCGGTACCCCACCCTCAATACCACGACTGAGGTGAGACACTTGAGTAAGGCACCGGACCACCGAAATTATCAGTGTTGTCAGACAAATATGAACATGCGTCTAAATGGCCTAGTCATATTCAATGCATGAGAAAACCCCCTGTTTCTGTCTCACAGGATCAGCTGCTGTGGCTTTCCTGAGCTACAACACAATGGAGAATCTACTGAAGCCAGACTTCTTCAACACATCAAATGACATGTTTAACACTGTGATTCTCACTAAGAATCATCATAACCATCTCTCATGGCCTCCAGGTGTTGTGTGCCGTGATCTCAGGCCTTATGCACTTCCTCTTTCTCTCCGGCTTTGTGTGGATGTTCATTGAAGCTGTTCTGCTCTTCATCTGTGTGGAGAACCTATCACAGATCAGCTCCAAAAAGAGGGCGGTGCTTAGCAGTGGATTTCTGTGTGTGATTGGATATGTGGTTGCTCTGGTTGTGGTGTGTGTGTCTGTCGGTCTGGTTCCTGAAGGCTACGGCAGCGAAGAGTGAGTTGTTGTTGTTGTTGTTTAAGTTAATTTGATTAGAAGGAAAAAAATCAGCTCTGGGATTTTGTGACATCTCTGCTATATGATCAGTGTTGGGGGTAAATCATTGCAAGTAACGCGAATTACGTAATCAGATTACTTTTGTCAAGTAACTAGTAAAGTAACACATTACTTTTTCAAAAAAGTAATGCCAGTTACTTTGTTTTCCCATTTATTGACTGACAGGTCTCATGTCCCCATATTGGGAAATCGGAAGTACAGAGGCGTTGTGTGCGCTGTGTGAACATGATGCTACTGTAGTTCTAGACTAAATGTGAGTGTGCATTAATTCATCCCACTCACAAAAAACAGATTTATTATTAATCAAAATGAATTAAAACAGTGAAATGCAAACTCAGAATATGAAGCAATCCTGCAATAATTAAATATGTTAAATAACACAAATGTATCTAATCCCATTTTATTAACCAATGTCTTTGCTGCTGACCTTTGATGATCCAGTTCAACCATACTAATTAGCAAAAATGACTTTAGATAAACTAACAATTGTGCTTCCTTTTTTTATTGCTGAAGAGTGTTTCTTCTCCTGCGTTCTACTGTACAGACGTGAATTTACTTTTGCTTCAGCCTGAGGTTTATTCATTACACTTTTTGGTGTGAAAGGGCTTTTATATTTGCTATAAATAGAACTTCTTATATTAAAAACAATCAAGCCCTGCTCATATTTAAAAAGTAACGCGAAAGTAACGCAAAAGTAATATGACGCATTACTTTCCATAAAAAGTAACTAACGTAATTAGTTACTTTTTTAGGGAGTAATGCAATATTGTAATGCATTACTTTTAAAAGTAACTTTCCCCAACACTGTATATGATAAAATATACACACATACACTGGTTGTATCAGTGTCATGCACAATATTAAAATATGTAGTATTTCAACACTTGAAATAGTATTTCTGACAAGTTCATTCGGCTATATTGTATTTTTTTCTCTCTATACAGCTGCTGAACTAAAATGGATAAAGGCTTCATCTGGAGTTTCTGGGTCCAGTTTGCGTCATACTAGCAGTAAATGCATTTCTTATTTCTGACGACTTTGTTTTATATTAAAAAGAAAACAAGGTGATGAATTACTCTACTTTGCGGTCAAACTGAAAACTCTCAACGCTGAAGTTTCACAGATGAAACAAACCAAGTAACATTATAATTGAATCACTCTGTAGAAAACCACATACACAGTCAGTAAAGACACAGGAAATATCTCTCTTTCTCCACAGGATCATGGTGTTTAAAACACTGGCTCAGTTTGTGGTTCTTGGCTGCTCCTGGATTCTGGGTTTCTTCACTAATGTCAGTGAGGTGCTGGAGGTCCTCTTCCTGATCTTGAACTCCCAGCAGGGAACCTTCATCTTCCTGATCTACTGTGTCTTCAATAATGAGGTCAGAATGTTTTCCATCCATACTCTATGAATGAACCAATAAACCTCCAGACACCGTGGCAGTACAGTAGTTTCTTACCTGTTTATTATAAACAAACTCCATTCTGGTTCATGAGTTTCAGAGGTTAAATGAAGTCTCTCAGCTCCTCTCGTTTCATTCTTGCTCAGGTCAGGCAGCAGTACAGGAAGTTCTTCAGATGTCTTTGCTGTGGACGCAAACAACACTGAGGAGTACAGCACCAATTGAAAATGACAAATGTGCCATTATTATAAAGTAAAATACAACTATAGTAGAATACATATTACATGCAAATCTGTGCTCCTATCTATAAATAATAGTCATTAACCTAACATTAATTTATAGTGGTCATCAATTTTGATGTTAATCAATTGTGTTTTTGATTGTCTTTTACTATTCGTTTTTTCTTATTTTCTTCTTGGTTGAGGTCATTGACTCATCCTGTACTTCAGTCTCCTCGAGTGATTTATGTTTGCTTTAATTGTCTATATTATTGTACAAGAATATTTAGTGTGATTTGTAATTATTTTCTTGATAATAATCATTAAGGAAAAAAATCTATGAATGCTTCCTTTCAGCTTTTCAGCATTATTGAGTTGTTAGTAAATGTTTAGAATGATTGGTAGATTTTAATCAAACCCCGTCTTCTTACTACACATATATGGTGATGATAATATTATCACAGTCAAGGTTTTAATAATAAAATGCTAACATACTCATCACAACCACTTACCATGGCTAATATTGATGTCTAAGATGGTAACAAGGAGAAATCAGGACTGTGCTTTGATTTTTATTTTTTTTTAGAAATGTGTATTTAAATATGTATAAATATACTGAAATGTGATCTTTGTATATGACATGTTTTTGTAAGTGCATCTTGATGAGTTCTTTGAATATGAATTTGAATTTCAGCAGGAAGGACTGAAAAATATGTTAGTTTCCTCGTTAGATGAGCAGATAACTGTCATAAATATCTGACAATAATGTGTCTGTGTAGTCAGTCTAGTTGGGTGAAGATCACGTCATGTAAAGTCATATCAGGTGAGACCCTGCTTAAATAAGAATGAACTGCTTTAGTGTTACTATCAATCAATGCACTTTTTTGCAATTTTGTCTTCAATCACTGTTTGCGATACTGTACATGTTTCATGCTATTTAGGCTAAACATTGAAAAACTTTTATTTTAAAGTCATCTAAATCTTTGATATACTTCATGTGTCCTGAGGTGTGATTTATGTGTAATGAGGACATTAACAAAATTAAAGAGCTGTCAGAGATGGTTAAAGGGTTTACAGACAGAAGGGGAGGAAAACATAACTGAATTCAGTGTCACTTCCTACTTCTTTGTAATTCACTGCAAAATTTACTAGCAATGTCTAAGTGAAAACTGTTTCTACACCACTTTTTTAGTATAGCAAACAAATCTATAAATGTAGGTTCGCAAAAGTGTTTTAATCACTCCCACACTTGAGTCAAATGTGTAAATCATGCAGTCCAGAGATGGTTTGCACATTTTTCAGTCTGTGTTAAAAATCCGAAATATTCCCAAACATGAGAACGGCTGGCTCAGTGATTAAAGATTTTTAATAAGCGGGAAGCAACAAACAGACTTAACTTTTTCTGTCATCTCAGAAGGGTGCTGGTTATGTACTATATTTATTATTTATTAAAATGTATTATTATTTAGAATAGTATTTACACCCATGTAACTCATTTATAATTGGCTAAACTGACAGTGTTTCGCCCTCACGCTGTTATTTATTTGTCTATTAATTTATTTCAGAAATCAATGCCTGATCTAAACACAGTGGACTATCAGACTCCATTATGATGTTCATTGTTTTTAAAAGTAAGTATTTTTTCCCCTGTTTTGATTTAGAAAAATTGTTTTGCATTGAGTACTGACTGATAATTAAATATGACAATTGACTAAGCTTTGGCTAAAACCATACATTATTTATTTTCTTTAATGGACATTTGGGTGTATTTTAAGTGCATTTATAGATCAGTGTTTTTTTGTTGCTGTTTTTTTGTTGTTGTTAAAACCATATGATTATTATTATTATATATATTTTTTTTTAATAGTTCATAACATTTTTATTTAAATGTCATGCACAATCAGTTCCAACAACAGCATTGCACAACATTACCTTTCCATTATTCTCAGCAAGCCAAACTCAACTGTTATTAGTGTAGACAATGTTCACCAATTCCAGGAGATTTCCTGAAATTATAAAGACAAAAACTAAACACCTTTTCTCATTGCACAAGCAAAAGTAAGTTAGAAGAATAGTAAAATAGCACCACCTTGTGTCTTTAAATGGTTACGATGGTGGTAATACAGTCTTTGAGGACTTCCAGGACTGTATGTTATGGTAGACATACAGATTAAATGACATTAAATTCTTGCATTATACTTTTTGTGGTATTCAGGTTATTTTCTACTCTATGATTTTCTCTGTGACTTTGAATGTGTTTACTTCTTTAAATACCTTTTTCAGAGTGTAGAGAGCATCTTTAGAGGTGTACTGCATGACATACATTACAATACATACATTACAACGGTATTACAGAATCACAACAGCATGCACCTCAACATCTAAGAAGTGTGCAGGCTATTTCCATGCATGCTGAGCTGATGGCTTCAAACGTGGTCTGAACGTTGCTGATCGTTCCTATTGTAAAGCAAACTGAAACATCAATTGACAGACGATATTAATCCAATTCATTATAACGTTTTCAGACCTGAAGCCACTTTTGCAAATATTTGAACACATACAATTCAATACCAAAACTGCATGCATCTGCATCAGACTTTTAATGCAGTGTAGGTCAGGACTCTATATGGCTGTCAATGTATGTGTGAAAATGACACATTGAATCACTCTTTCACAATTTGAGCTCATCGTTTTAGTGATCTGATCTGATCAGAAAACGTATTTTCAATTCTTGTTCAGACAGGCAGTAAATGTGCATTTAATTTATTATTTTGTTTATAGTCTAAACAGCAAAAAAATATATATATATACAGTATATATTAAAACTCTCATGGCTTTATTCTATTTGTTAAGCCATTACTATATTGTACCAGATAAATATTTTTTTAGACTTAACAGTCAGCCCCTAAAGATCTGGTTTGAAAAACAATTCAGATATGTGTGCAGTGTTAGTAAAGTCCAGGTATAACTGAGCATTAAAAGTAATAATTGTATTTTATATTTAAAAAATAAAAATTACGCCTTCTTTGCGTGAACATTTGGGCGGCATTATGCAAATCTTCCCACATAGTGACGTAGACATGTGGGGGCGTGTTAGAACGAGCCGTTTTAGGTAGGTGTGGTTGACTCTTAACTTTTATAAAGAATATCTCTTTGGATTTGAGACTTTAGTCTTTGCAACTTTACAAATCTTCTTTATGCACCAAGTGCTTGTTACACTCCAAAGAGAAAGGAAAAATTTAAACCGCATCATATGACCCCTTTAAATAAGAGCATGCAGTTTATCATACGCACAGGGTCAGCACTACCTATAGGCAGAGCAGGCCTCGGGCTTTGAGCAGGGGTCTCTATAATGGTAACATACCCTATATGCTAGTCCACCAGTCAAGACAGGGAGCAAAATTCTAGCCCTATTGAATTGTCACTCACCTACAATTAAACTAATTAATGTTGCTGTTTCAAAGCGGGTCCCGCCTTCTGGATTTTTGTGACTTTAATTTAAGGAGAATTCTAGTTTGAAATATGAAAAATGAAATCAAGCCATCTTCTGCAATATATCTGCCAAACTAAGAAAAAACCTAATGCTCAATTAAAAACAGCTGCCAATGTGGGTTAAAACTGACAAACACTGATAGGAAATGACACTTGTGACATTGTGTGGAAAGTCTGACAACACTTCCAAGTAACTGGAATTTAAATTTGGAATTAAATTTGTATCTGAATTTGAAAACAGACATGGGATCAAATTTCCTTACCAGCATGATGGGCTGATAACATCTCTGTAAACATCTGAACACAACAATGTTTTTAGTTAGCAGTCAGTCTTGTCAGTGAGGATCACTGTGTCAGCTTACATCAGGTAAGATCTTATTTCTGCTTATAATGATCCTCAACAGTCTATTTAAGTCTAACGTATTGCTGTGTGATCACGTGTGTAGTTATAGTTGTGCAATTATAGTAAGTAATTTGGGCTTTGACCAGGTCAGAACTTCTGTAAGTCCTTTAACATTTTTAATGATGTATAAATCTTTATGAATTACTCCAGATCACTTGCAAATCTACACCAGTTTTCAGGTGTGATTTTTTTTGGGAAACAGTTTGTGATTCTGAGTTGATTCTTATACAGTGTTGGGTAAGTTACTCAAAAAAAGTAATCCACAACAAATGACTAATTACAACTTTAAAATTGCAATTTGATTACATTACTGATTACTGCATTTAAAAAGTAATCGGATTACCGATTACTTTACTTTCAAGTTACTTTCAAGTTTACTCAAGTTATCAAACCTAAAAAAGGTAATTTCATACTTTAAAGTAATTTCATGTTGACTGAAAAATTACGTAAGTATGAAAACAGCAACTTTAACGATCACTTGCATTTTTCCCTGATAAAAGCAAAAATAATCTTTTTTGATCGTACAGATAAGAGTAATACATCATTTGAAACAGTAAAAGGTCTACTTTTATTTGTATACTCATAAAGAACATTTATACTTATTTATACTCAATAAAGAACATATACAGGGTGTGCTTTTTGCCAACTCTGTCTCTGTGAACCTCTTTCTGAAAAGCGTCAAAAAAATAATCGAAAATTCTGTGAATTTAGAAGTTTCTATTTTTAAATTAAGTCATATTGAAAACAAATATTCTCTGATAAAGTCATCCGTCTGAAACCAACACGAGGTCCAGTCTTTCCCATCTGAGCTCATTATCTGTAATGTAATCACACCTACGTGCAGCGTGCACTATTCATACTGTAATCATTGAACCAGTAAAAACCCACACCTCCGTAAACGTGAAGATTCATCAAGTTCATCTAGGCTACTTTTTTTTTTGGAAGAAGACGCGCTGTGAGGAATAAGTCTTGTGTGCGATGTGGCTTGATCCAGTGAAGCATATCATTCTGATAATTTATTCTTACTTATACCCTATTAGTGTTATTGTGATAAAATTGTATGCATTTTACTAGTTGGACTTTTCCCAAACTATAATGCTAGGCTAAAATATG